GAGTATCCTCCATCCATTGAAGGCTCCAGGATGCTTTGCCCCATCTAAGAAAACTTCTCCCCAAGTGCAACCACTCAAGCACACAGAGGCCACTCAGATGTGGTCCAAGGGAGCCAGACTATATCGTGAGTGGGTCACAGAACTTAGCATCATCCACAGTGCTAATTTTACAGGTATGTAGAATACAAAAATTACAGGTATATAAATTGACAACATGGCCAGCCAGTCCGTGGTATGGTTAAAGGGAAGGTTTTTTATTATACATATGAGAGAGAGAGGAGAGAGATGACCAGTAGACTCGATCTGGCCATGAAAGAAACAGAAGCAGGGAGGGGAGCAAGAGCATAGCCAAAATAGCAGGGTTATAAGGAAAATGCATAGCTTGGGGGATGAAGCCCGTGAGCTGGAGAGAGTTTAGGGGAGGGGAGGAGGTGAGAAGGACTAGGATGGACTTTGAAATGTATAACAGATACTTGTGAGACTGAGGGAGCCTGGCGGCCAGCATGTACTCTGGTATGATGATAGGCACGACAAGTAGCCAAGTGTCTCTTCTGCCAGAGCTTAAGAAAGTGACTCCTTCTGGTAGAGGAGAAGCAGCTTCACAAGTTCCTGAGAATGCTGACTTTTATCTAAGTGCCACAAATCTTCTTATAGTTCAGGTTGAGTCCATTTCTGGATATTTGGACTGCATTTTGGAGTTTGGGGAATCAGTGTGTCCTTTGGTCCTAACAACAGGGTTATGGAGACTTGCACAGCATGTGTAGCGGGGTCAGGTTCCCTGCATGGCAGTGTGGGCTGTGTACATAGCTGTGAGGGTGACACCTAAGTTGTACCACAGTCCCCATCATGTTGAAGATGCCAGAAACCTGACACCTCTGCTGAGATGAACAGGCCATATTGAGTGGAGGCAGCCCAATAGCAAATCCAGGAATTCCCATCTCAGGAGTTAAACATACTTGTATGACATTGTGGCCTCTTGGCATAAAATGAAACTATTTTGGAGTAGAGACGAATCTGGCTTGGTAGCCATGACTAGAAATAAACAGAACAATACAATGTTCTATGGAAATAGTAATGGAGCAGTTGGCATTCCCCAGTAGAAGGATGAAAGAGGAAAAAAAGTCACAAGGTCTTTGTGCAGGATCCCACCTGCAGTCTGGGATTCCACGTTGAGAGGTGCTGGAGTAGATCTGTAGGAAGTGGAAGTGGAACTGGCAGCAGGGACTCCATGATGCTGCTTCTGTGAGGTCATCATACTCAGTGGGTGGGACTTTGCAGTGATGCAACTGTTTGGGGTTTACCCATGCTGCTGTATGTAATCCCTCACCCATGCTCTGTAGGCAAGCCCAATAAACTTGTTCCACCAAATTGGACTTTGGTGGAATGGTACCTTGAGTTAAACAGGCATTTGTTCACATCTTCCACAGGAAACACTATCAAGATACTTGTCAAAAATCTCATCCTCCCAAGCACCAAACCAAAACCTTAACTAGCATCTGACCCTGAACCTGCAAGTAAGCAGAAGCCAGATTCTGCAAGCTGAGGACAATGATCCAAATATGTTTGAGCATCTTACTATGCATCTTAGGTGACAATCTGCTGCCTCTGCCTCCCAGTGTTAATAATAAGACACAATTTACAGCCTCTACTGCTTTGGGCTACTCTTGAAGAGTGCCTGATTGTAACCCGTCCTGGGTTTCCCAGTTAATACAACAGTTAAGAAGGGTAGGATCCAAAGCCAGAGCTTGATTGGATTCTTGGCTCCACCCCTTTGTGGCTGTGTCTCATTGACAAATGTATTTTCTGGTCCTCAAATGAAAAAGAAGATGATAATGATTTTTTTTTTTTTTTTTTTTTTTTGCCTTTTCAAGTGAGGGTTTCTCTGTATAGCTTTGGCTGTCCTGGAACTCGCTCTGTAGACCATGCTGGCTTTGAACTCACAGAGAGTTGTCTACCTCTGACTCCTGAGTGCTGAGATTAAAGGCATGCGCCACAACCGCCCAGCTGATAATGGTCTTTAAAATGGAGTTTGAGTGAAGGCTAGAAAAAAGCGCCACCCATATACCAAACACACTGACACAAGGTAGCATGAGACGAATGTCAGATCTGTGATCAGATCTTCCTGTGTGCTCACAAGCCTCTAGGTTTAGGGTCACTCTTTGAGTCAGAAGGAATGAGAAGGAATGACTGCAATTACCTTGGCCTTTGAAAACAGCATTCCCTAGTTCTCACAGTCCTTACTGTAATTCCCAAGTGCTAGGAAGAAATGGAGTAGAGAGAGAACCTTGGAATTGTTTCCCTTTCCATGGGATGTGGTTTTCAGCATCAAACCAACTAGAACTTTGTGTCTCAGTAATTGGAAATGACTATTGATAAATGGAGAATTAAATAGGTCGGGGGGGGGGGGAAATAAATAAATAGGCTGGGGACTTCTAAAGAAGAAAATACATCTTGATGAGAGATTGTGGGGGGTTTTGTGAATTTAATGACTTCAACAAGTAGCAGACACTTTCTATATCGTCTACTCTTCACAACAGTTCAATCCATAATCATTGTTTTTGTAACAGCAGAAAAGTAATTTGCCCAACCCATATATTGCTAGGGTAGATTTGGATTCAAACGTGGTTAATTGAATTATGCAGCTGCTTGAACAACTGAACAATTCCTTTGCCGAGGTATTGGAAATGAGACCTAGTGTGAGAATAGAAGGGAAGCCGTGTCACTGAGGCTTGCTCTTTCTGAGGAACTCTCATGCAGGAGATCTTTTGCTTCTAATTCCTCTCTCCTCAGTCTGTCTGTGTGGGTGCCACTTGCAGAAGACCTAAAGTATACATGCCAGTGGTTTTTAGTCTAGTCACAAGGCTGCATACTATCACCACCAATTTTAGAATCCTTTGTTGGTCCCCAAAAGAAGCCCTTATCAGTCAGTCAGTCACCCCTTCGTACCAATAGCCAATCAACTTTCTGCCTCCTTTTAAAAAACATTTTTATTTTTGTTTTCATGTATGAGTATTTTGTCTACATGTATGTATATGTACCAGGTGCATGCCTGGTGCCCACGGAGGCCAGAAGAGAGTGGTGGAGCCACCGTTGTAAGCTACCATGTCAGTACTGGGAACTGAACCTAAGTCCTCTGGAAGAATAGCAAGTGTTCACCTCTGAGCCATCTCTCCAGCCTCTCCCTAGTTAGGTTATTTTAAAATAATTAAAATAATTAAAAATGACGCAAAATTGCAAGAACTCCTGTGTCTTTGTCACTCAGACACTCTGGTTTTTTTGTGTGTTTTACCACATCTGCTTACTCTCCCCACACACACTCTTTATGTGCGTTTCTATATGTTTTAGCGTTCCAATCTTGAGTTCTTTTGAACCCTCAGATAGAAAGCTGCAGAAACAATGTCCCATCACCCTACATATCCAGTGTGAACATTCACAAACAAAGACACTATTTTATAACCACACAAAGCCCTAGACCAAGAAATCAACACTAATACAACACAGACCTCATTAACATTTCCCTGGATGATGTTTCTCTCATCCTAAATCCTACCTAGGAATTTTCTGTGGATTTCTTGTCAAGTAAATTCAGGTTCCTCCAATCTGGAGAAATTTCTTGGTCTTCGATTTCATGACCCTGATAGTTTTAAACAGTTTAGGCCTTTGTATAGAATAATTCCCCAACTGGACCCATACATTGCTTGCTTATGACTTGCTTAGCTATGCATTTGAACAGAAGAGTCACAGCCATTAGGCCAGGCTCTTTCACACAGCTCACAGGGAGGAACCTGAGGCAATCCCTTCCTTGATACCATTGTGATGGAAATTCTGCTTATTCTCAAGTCAATTTCTCCAGTATAGGAAAAGAAATCACTGGTTTTCCTCTGCTTTTAATAAATATTTTGTGGTGAAATATTCTGAGGTTAGGTCAATATCCTGTCTTTCATCTAACCTTCTTCATCTATCAACTAGGCAAGCATTCTTCATGGTTGAATCACCCAGCATAGTGATGATAGTTGAATAAGTCATTTTTCTTTACTTTTTCATTTATTTGTGCTTTGACTAGTTAGCACTTTTTTAATTTAAAAATATTTATTTATACCTTTTAGTCCTGGATGATAAGCATACACCACCATGCTTGCTATTTTAATTTGTTTTAAGTGTGTGTGTGTGTGTGTTTGTGTGCATGTGTGCATGTGAGTGCCGGTGCCTGCAGAGTCCAGAATAGGGTGTCATAGCCCCTAATGCTGGAACTACAAGCAACCGTGAAATGCCGAGAAAGTATGTGGCCTAGATTTGTCCTGGAATCTTGATCTTCCAGTGTTAGCCCATTTTTCTAGAAGGAAAACGCTTCCTTTCTTCTCCTTGTCATTGTCTATTTGTTAACTTACTGGTCTCAATGTGGACTCATAGATTCCTTTTTTTTTTTTTTTTTTTTCAGTGAGTTATAGTATGGTACTATGGTTCTTTATTTTCATACTTAAATTGTCCTAGATTTAGTCAGTGGGAGATCTTTTAAGGACAAATTCTGGATCCTGATGGGGGAATGCTTCTTTGTATGTGTTTGTCTTATTGGATGATAAATAAAGGACTATTTGGCCAATGAGGCAGCAAGTTAGGCGGGACTAGGAGTCCAGGAGGATTCTGGGAAATGTAGTAAAGAAGTGGTGACCCACAGGAAGTGACATGGCAGGGAGACTCATATATAAACAAGGGCAAGAAGGAAGTGGGCCCTTCTCTCTTCCTCCTGGTCTCTGCTCTGGAGTCACCATGTGATCCACCGGCAAGAGAAGGCGCCAACGGAAGGCATCCTCTATAAGATAAGTCTTATAAAATATATAGATTTATGATAATTAAGACTGAACTAGCCAGGCGTTGGTGGCGCACGCCTTTAATCCCAGCACTGGAGAGGCAGAGGCAGGCAGATCTCTGAGTTTGAGACAAGCCTGGTCTCCAGAGTGAGTGTCAGGATAGACTCCAAAGCTACACAGAGAAACCCTGTCTTGAAAAACCAAAAAAAGAAAAAAAGACTGAGCTATAGATGAGAAATTCTAGTCTTTGGCCAAGCAGCATTTGTACCTAACATAAGTCTCTATATATTATCTGGGGCCCTAACTTGGGCGGCTGTCGGAAAGCGCCCTAGTAGCGGTAGGGCTGTGGAGGTGTTTGGGGAAAAGATTTATCGTAACAGGACCCTTGTGATATATCCACATAATTTTAAAGCATTTCCTTGATTTCTAGCATACAGTGTGAGTTCACTGTATTTTCCTTGCCTTAGCTCAAGAATAAGAAATTTCCCCACAAAGTCTAAGGGTAGACTGTAGAAGTCAAAATCTAAGCTCTCAGTGTCTTCATTGATGCTAAGGTCTCATTGCTTCTAGGTCCTCTCAGCTTTTGAAACTTTGAAATCCAAATGTACACATGTGGTTGAGTAATTTATGATGGGGATGAGTTAGATTTAATGGGAGAAGGGGAAGCTGGTGTGGCAATATTATATAGCTGTTCTACTTGGTTAATGGTTGTTGTGTGTATATTTCTACATCTGTCTAAATATAATTAAAACCATGAGATTACATTAATGAAATCAATCCCAATCTAGTTCTGCATACTTGCAAAGCTTTCCCTGGTCCACATGTGTAAGTGAAAAGACAATCTTATGCATAATGTACAGACACTCATCAGTGTCTGTGTCAGTGTCCAGACAGCATGCATATAAAGTTTACTTTGGTATGCGTATCTGCTTGACTCATCCTATGTGTAACAGACTCTTAACCTTAGAAAGCCTGTAGCTCCTGTCCAGAAGTGCAACCTTTTGGGTCATTATCCAAACCACCACCAAGTAGATGTCAGTTCTTCCCACAACGAATGTGGGAATGAATGTATTCTATTCCAGTCCAATCAAAATCCCATCAGGAACTCAACAAATCTTGTAGAATTCAATAGGGAAAGATCTATGAAAAAAAATATGCCAGTTTGAGGAAGGAAAAATTAGAGAAGCCAATAACAGTGTTTTAGTGGAAACATAGCACAAAGGTCCTTGTTCCTACAGATCTCCAGAGAAACCAGGAATGTTAAGCACACAGGATTGTCTTTTCAATAGGAAAGATGAAAAACCTGTTCTTCCATCCAGAAAGCTGAGAGTTGGAAGTGAGTAACAGCCTGGTGATTGTGCATTATCTATTGGACCAAGCTGTATGAAGCTCTTAAAACCAGTACTGGAAGTGACTAGTAATCTAAATGACCCTTATAGCCAGAGGCTCCCCCAAGCTCCCACAGCCAGGACAGAGGTGACTAAGAGCCCAAATAACCTCTCTGTTACCTGTAAAACCAAGACCAGGCCAGACAGACCCTTAAGCCTGTACAGCTAGCATATCTCAAGAACCCATCTTCTTGGAAGAGATAACATGTACCCTGAGTTGAGTTTAAATGTAATTTTGTTTCCTTGTGCAGCAGGGATTGTATTACAGCAGGAAACTTTTTTCCCCCAAATTATATTGGGAATAAACTGCCTGTCGTTAGACTCCCGGAAGTCAATCTGCACCGGGTTTTCATTCTTACCTCTTCCTGTGGTCCACTTCCCTGTATGAGATGTGAGCAGCCTAGATTCTCCTCAAGGAGAAACATGCCATCTACTACAGGGAATGTGGCCTGTCATGTCCAAGGACACAGCCTTCCCCAAACACTCGGATGTAGTGACTCAGTGTGGACCTGGTCATTTTAGCCTAATGTAGGACACACTGACTGTCAGTATTGGTTCAAGTGTTTCACTATGTTGACTAACCTGTGGTTTAGCCCCCAGCTTCTTAAACTTTGGTTTGGGGACCCACACCGGGTATTGTCTCTGAATATGGTAGTCACCAAAACTTCAGGAGCAGCAAAATTTATAATGACAGGTAACAAAATCGGAGTTGTTTCTGACTGTTTACCCATGTTGCATCAGTCAACTTCACTGAAGCCTGACTTCCGAACAGGCAACATGGCACTTTACACTGTGTGCCAAAACATCACATGACGTCAGCAAACACCACCTGAAACACCTCAGTTAGATTCTATATGAATTGCATTATTTTTACTAGACATAAGAAATTTTCTGCTCTTGGTGCTGGAGACATGACTCATTGGTTTTTCCAGCACCCAAACCATCAGAAGCTCACGATTTCCTGCAACTCCAACACTACAAAGATCTGTTGTCATCTTTTGGCTTCAACCAGACCTGCACACATACGGGGTAGACATACAGACAAACACATACATGTAAGTGAAATTAAATATTTTGAAAAATGTTTTTGTGCTCTTATAAAAACACAATGAGCCAGGCCTAGTGGCCCATACCTTTAATCCCAGCACTTGGGAGGCAGAGGCAGACAGATAGATCTCTGAGTTTGAAGTCATCCTGGTCTACATATTGAGTTCCAGGCATACAGGACTACATAATGAAACCCTATCTCAGAACAAAATAAAAAAACAAACATGATGGTTTAATAATAGCAAAGACTTTTAGATTTTCTTACCATCCTATGGTTATATTTATGATTTATTAAAGCTTGCCTGAGGATTCAGAAAGCAAAGTCAGCCACAAGCCATAGAAACCTGCCACACACCTTTAATCCCAGCAGCCAGAAGCTTGGGGGGAGTGTGGTGTGTGGTACACACCTTTAATCCTAGGACTCAGGATTAAGAAGTAGAGTTCAAGGCCACCCAGGGATACACAAAATTGAATCAGTCAAAAGAGTAACAGATCGAACAGCTTTAATCCCAGCACTAGAGGGGTATAAAAGATAGAAGCAGGGTCTTTAGTATTCAGTATGAGGAATTCATTCTCCAGTCATGCTGAGGAGAGGTTACAGTCTGAGGTTTGGTGAGAGCTCGTGGAGACAGGATCAGTCCATTCAGCCTGAGGTAGAGGTAAGAAGCCAGTGGCCATCTGCTTTGCTTTTCTGATCTTCAGCTTGAAGTTTGAACCCCAATGTCAGTCTCTGAGTCATTTATTTTTCATGTTACACCATCATCTCTTTGCATTTGACTATGAAATTAGTGTATCTTTAATTTTTTTGTGTTGGAATGTGGTGATATTTTGTTTATGATCTAACCAATAAAGCTTGCCTGAAGATCAGAGTGCAAAGCTAGTCACACTAGTTAGTTACAGAGTCCAAGCAGTGGTGGAACACACCTTTAATCCCAGCACTCAGGAGAAAGAGGCAGATGGATCTCTGTGAATGCAAGGCCACCCTGGGCTACACAAAATTGATCCAGTCTAAAAGGAAACAGACAATCAGTGCTGACTCACACTTTTAATCCTGGTACTTGGGAATCACATGTCTTTAATCCCAGCACTAAGGAGGTGGAGACAGGAAGGGATATGGCTGGACAGAGAGAGGAAAATAAATCTTCAGGAGACAGTGAAAGGTGACTGGCTCTACCTCTTTAAGAGACAGACCCTGCCCCCTGACAAGTCAGGGCATGTGTAAGAAAACGTGCTACGTCATCACGGCACCACATCACCCATGAGGACTCTGCTCTGGGCATGCATGGAACCTCAGTGCGCACGCGCAGTCTTCCCTTTAAAGCTCTAACTCTGCTTTCACTCTCTTCTGCTTCTCTTCTTTCCTCACTCTGTTTCTTTTCTTCTCTGTATACCGACCATGGCGGTCAGCCATTACCCTGTTCCTCTTCTTAGTCTCCCCATTCTGCCGGGCCTTATAATAAACTTATATTCAACATGTCTCATGTCTCAGCATCTCTCTTTTCTTCTTTTTAAACAAAAGAATAACAGACAGGAACTCCCTGCAGTCTGAGCAGCAGTTAGTCTGAGGAGGCACTCTGCGGACAGGATTGTCCCTTTGGTCTGAGTATCAGTAGAGGTAAGAACTCTAGTGGCCTGGAAAGCACAGAGATCCACCTGCCTCTGCCTCCCAAGTGTTGGGATTAAAGGCGTGCACCACACTGCCTGGCTGGACCTCATTTTTTTTTTTTAAGATTTATTTATTTATTATTATGTGTATAGCATTCTGCCTCTTCTGCCTTCACACCAGAAGAGGTCACAGTGTGTGTGTGTAGTGACTGCATCACTTTCTTTTTTGCGACAGGGTTTCTCTGTGTAGCCCTGGATGTCCTAGAACTGGCTCCCTAGACCAGGCTGTCTTCAAACTCACAGAGATCCTCCTGCCTCTGCCTCCCAAATGCTGGAATTGAAGGCATGAACCACCACAGCAAGTGGGATTGAATCACTTCTTGTGTTTGTCAAGAATATTTTTCTGTTGGATATGCTGTGTTTTTCTTGTTTTGTGGCACTTATTTAGAGGTAACTGTAAAAACTGACAAATTGATCACTCCTCGGTACAGTTAAGGGAGAGGACAGCCAGAATCATCTGGAAGAGTTCAGAGCAGAGAGAGAAAGAAGTAGACTGAACATGGCCAGCAGACTAGACACGGCCAAGGCTATCTGTACAGAGGAGAGAATAGCAGGGGATTAAGAATGGAAAAAAGGGGGTGAGGGGAGGGAGAGGGAGAAGGGACTTACATGTGAAACAAGCTTGTTCCCTAACTAGAACTAATAAATTTAAAAAACAAAATATAATAATAATAAGAAGAAGAATGGGAAAAAAAACATAGTAAGAGAAGCAGAACAGAGCAGGGAGGGAACACAGTGAGAATACCAGGGCTACAAGGACAATGAGTAGCTGGGGGAGGGAAGCCCAAGGGCTGGAGGGAGATTAGAGTGGGGGAGGGGTGAGAAGGGCTGGGATGCTAGTGTGGACTTTGTAATGTCTAACAGGTGCTTGTGATGCTGAGGGAGGCTGGAGGCCAGCCTGCTGCTAGCAGGTAGGCACCACAGGCAGCCATGTGTCCCTTCTGCCAGGGGTGAGGGGAACGACTCCTTTTGGTAGATGGGAACCAGTTTCACAAGTTCCTGAGGAATGCTGGCTTTTATCCAAGCACCAGAAATCCTCATTTCTGGGTATTTGGACTACCTTTTGGAGTTTGGGGAATTGGGAGTTTCCTTTAGCTCAAACAGTGCACACCTTTAATCCAGTACTTGAGAGGCAAATGGACCCCCTGTGAGTTCAGGGCCAGCCTGATCTATATAGAGAGTTCCTGGACTACATAGAAAGACTCTGTCTCCAAAAAAAAAAAAAAAAAAAAAAAGGAAAGAAAAAGTAAAAAGTAAAGGTAGCTCCTATTACTGAACAAACACGAAACAGTCTGTTTACTCTTTTAGTACTGCATACAGAACCTAGCAGGAGTCTCTGTGGGCAATCAGCTGATTTTAATGGGTCCAAAGAGGCAAAATGCAGAGGCTGTGAGAAATTTCCAGAAACTTTAAGGTGAAAGCCAGACAGATAGAGCTGGAAGGCACATGGCCTATTGGAGACTGTACACAGATAGTCACAGAAAGGCACTTCACCCTTATAGATGAAACTCCATTATAACCTCTGCAAGAAGATATTATCAGGTAGATGATGGTGGCACATATCTGTAATCCCAGGATGCTGAGGAAGATGATAACCAGTGTGAGGAAAGGCTAGGTTACATAATGAGACCTCATTCCAAGAAGATGATGTCAGAAAAACGTTTAGAGTCTCAAAGAAAGAGATCACTGTAGCTTTTTGCTGCCTGAGGCTGCCGAGGTCGCAAGCATGAGGCCTGTCCGAAGCAGCCAACATGCTCTTCGTGGCCTCTTACTTTCTTGCCACCCTTGGAGGCAACTCCTCTCCTAGCACCAAAGACATACTAGAGAAGATACTAGACAGCGTGGGCATCGAGGCAGATGATGACCGGCTCAACGAGGTCATCAGAGAGCTGAATGGAAAAAACATTGAGGATGTCATTGCCCAGGGTGTTGGCAAACTTGCTAGAGTTAGAGTGCCTGCTGGTGGGGCTGTGGCTGTTTCTGCTGCCCCTGGCTCTGCAGCTCCTGCTGCTATTTCTACCCCTGCTGCAAGCAGAGGAGAAGAAAGACCAGAAGAAGGAAGAGTCCAAAGAGTCAGCTAATGACATGGGATTTGGTTTGTTTGATTAAATTCCTGCTCCCTTGCAAATAAAGCCTTTCTATGTATCTTGAAAAGAAAAGAAGGAAGGAAAGAAAGAAAGAAAGAAGAAAGAAATCACTATAGTAATATTTTGTTCCTTTTTTAACAAATAAAGCCTGCCTGAAGATCAGAGTGCAGAGCTAAACCACTAGAGGCCAGGCAATGGTGGCACAAACCTTAATCCCAGCACTCAGGAAACAGAGGCAGACAGATCTCTGTGAGTTCAAGGCCACCCCAGGATACAAGAGATCGAATCTGTCTAGAAGAGAAGCAGAGCTCACACAAAAGTGATCTCAGCACTTGGGATCCCATGTCTTTAATCCCAGTGCTTGAGAGGTGGAGACAGGAGTAATATGACTAGGCAGAAAGAGGAATATAAGGCAGGAGGAGACAGGAGCTCAGTGCAGTCTCAGGAGCAATGCAGTCTAGGCAGTTTGAAGGCAGGTTGTCTTTTGAGGCTGAGCATTGATAGAAGTGAGAACCCTCTAGTGGCTGACCACTTTGCTTCTCTTATCTTCAACATTAATCCCTATATCTGACTCTGGGTTTTTATTATTAAGACCAACTAGAATTTATGCTACAGATCACCAGTCTAGACAAGGAAGCTTTGTGCTTGATCAAGAGGGCTCACTGAGAGGAGTGGACAGAGACAGGGAGTGCACTTCATTTTTATACTTCATTTTGGCAGGGGTCTTTGACCTCACTCTTAGTGCATGGCTAGTTCTAAAAGAATTGATGCCCAGGAAACAAATGGGGTCAGTCACTTTAATCAGAGAATGTCTCAGGGCCATTGCATAAACAAAGGTTTTACTGAGTAGTAGGAGGGATGGAGACATTTGTATAGAAGCCTTAAAAGGTACAAGAAGGAGATAAAAAATTTGGACTCCTTGTTTTAAACACAGTTTTATAGTATTTGATAGAAAAAAAACCCTCATATTTAATGTTTCATACAAATCTTTCCATTTATTGATTGGTTGATTGATTGATTGATTGATTTTTCAAGACAGGGTTTCTCTGTGTAACAATCTTAGCTGTCCTGGAACTCCCTCTGTAGACCAGACTGGCCTCAAACTCACAGAGATCCTCCTGCCTCTGCCTCCCCAGTGCTGGGATTAAAGGTGTGCGCCACCACCAAGCCCTTCCTTTTATTTTTAAACACTCTTTTCTTCAAACCATTAATATGTTTTTTTTTTGTTTTGTTTTCCTATCTTGGAATAGAAACTGCAGCTGTTTAGTAACAGTTGACTTGATAAGCCTGAGTTAGGCTCCAAGTTTGTAATTTAAGTGGAGCTTGAGAGAAAGATGCCATGTGACAGGTTTCAAGGGGGGGTGGTTAATTAAAAAAGGGACCATAAAAAGGGGAAAGGGGCCGGGCATTGGTGGCGCACGCCTTTAATCCCAGCACTTAGGACGCAGAGGCAGGTGGAACTCTGTGAGTTCCAGGCCAGCCTGGTCTCCAGAGCGAGTGCCAGGATAGGCTCCAAAGCTACACAGAGAAACCTTGTCTCCAAAAAAAAAAGGGGGGGGGGAGAGACCAGCCTCTGGAGACCGGAGCAGCAGGAGGAGAGGAGAGAGGAAAGAGGGGGAGAAAAGGAGGTAGAGAGAAGAGGGAACAGAGAGAGAGAGAAAGGGAGAGAGAGAGAAGGATGGGACATGGGCAGGGCCCTTTTTAAAAGGAACACAGTGAATGTACACAGGCAATGCTCTTTCTTAATAGCTGCAGCTGAGGGCATATCCTGTCAGAACCCCAATGACAGGCCAGTACAGATGCCTGAATACTAACACCTAGTACAAAGAAATAATTATTGCATCTATTTTGTTAGCATGGTTTTAGGTGAGCCCACCTTCCTAGGGGTGGGTTTTAGCCAGTAGATTATTGTAGCCCCATTAAACGTTAGTTCTGCATCTAGGTCAGAGATTCTAGTTTCTCTCTGTCTCTCTCTCTCTCTCTCTCTCTCTCTCTCTCTCTCCCTCCCTTCCTCTGGTGGTGGTGGGGGTTTCAAAGAAGGGTTTCTCTGTGGCTTTGGAGGCCTGGAACTAGCTCTGTAGACCAGGCTGGTCTCCAAATTCACAGAGATCTGCCTGCCTCTGCCTCCTGAGTGCTGGGACTAACGGCTTGCACCACCACCACCCGGCCAAGATTCTAGTCTCTTGATTGGGAGTTTTCCCTTAGCAGGCCTTCATTGCCACGATCGCATCCTGCATCTCTAAAGAGGCAACCCTAGAGTCATCTAAGACCTAGATCAAAGGTCAGAGCTAAGGTCAGTGTGGGGGATGGAGAGAATCTGGGAGGAGACTTGATGGAGGAAACTATGATCAACATATATCATATGGAAATATTATTTTCAATTAAAATAATGATAATAAAACAAAAAAATAAATAGCAAACACTTTTGACACTTTGGCATCTGTCAAAGATGAAGCTGCCAAGAATCCCAAAAATGTTTCTGACTTTCAGTCAAGGAGGAACTGTTTACTTTTCTTGGGGGGGGGTCTTTTTTATTATTATTATTCATTTGTTTATTTATTTTGGGTTTTCGAGACAGGGTTTCTCTGTGTAACAGCACTGGCTGTCCTGGAACTCAACTTTGTAGACAAGGCTGGCCTTGAACTCACAAAGACCAATCTCCCTGCTTCTGCTTCCTGCGTGCTGGGATTAAAGGTGTGTGCACAACCACCCAGCCCAAATCCATACTTTTACCACAATCTTCAAGTTACAACATTTAACATTGCTTTATGTTTGCTTTTGTTTTCTGGTGATAAGAAAGTTAAGTACACTTTTCCATTTTTTTTCTCTTAACTATTTCAGGGTATGATATCTATTCATCCTTTGCACACTATCATATTGTCTTCTGTAACATGAGTTCTAATAGGTCTTAATAAAAGCCCAGAGTCAGATATAGGGGAAAATGCTGAGGGATCAAAGAGATGAGGGGGCAAAACCACAGCCACCTTAACTATTCAACTTCTCAGCTGAAAAGAGAGTGAATTCCTATCTCCTGCCTTTCACTTCCTCTCTCTGCCCAGCCATATCACTTCCTGTCTGTCTATACAGATCTCCAGATCTCTATGGTTAACTTGTGGCTAGCTCCACCCTCTGATCTTCGTGCAAACTTTGTTAGAGTATTAACAAGATGTCACTACAGTCTTCGATTTTATTATATATTCCTTAGTCCTATATTCTTCACGTATGGATCCTGTCTTAGTCACTCTTCTATTGCTGTGGAAAAACACCATGACCAAGGCACCTCTTATAAAAGAAATTAATTTGGGTTTGCTTACAGTTTCAGAGGTTTAGTTTATTATCACCATGGTAGGAAGATGGCACCAGGCAAGTGTGGTGCTGAAGAAACTGAGAACTACATCCTGACCCACAGGCAGAGAGGCAGATATATATATATATATATATATATATATATATATAAAGAGAGGGAGAGAGAGAGAGAGAGAGAGAGAGAGAGAGAGAGAGACTGGGCCTGGCATGAGCTTTTGAAACCTCAAAGCCTATCTCCAGTGACATACTTCCTCCAACAAGGCCACACCTCCTAATTCTCCTAATCCTACTCCAATAGTGCCATTTCCTGATAACCAGGCATTCAAATATGAGCCTATGGTGGTCATTCTTATTCAGACACCACCGTCCTGGATATGTGTATCCAGTAAACCACGTGTGTCCTGGCTACCTTCTCCTTCTCTGCATGCCACCTTTTCATTCCTGTGGTGGTGTCTTCATTATTATTATTTTATGTGTGACAGTGTCGTGTCTGAATGTGCCTCTGTGCACATTTTTCTGCAAGGTTTTCCTTGGCTGCTCTTGGGCCTGAATAGGAAAGGATCTCATATGCAGAGCCTCTGACTTAGACTGGATACAGAAGAAAACAGCTACTGGTGAGTTCTAAGCAAACAAGATACCTGTCAGGAGTCCCTGGGACATATTAGAGCAGTGTTTCTCCACATGTGGGTCATGACCTTTTGGGGGGACAAGTGACCCATTCACAGGGGTAGCCTAAGACTATCGGAAAATATGATGCATAACAGTAGCAAAATTACAGTTGTGAAGTAGCAATTAGGTAGTTTTATGGTTGAGAGGGGGGTCACCACAACATGAGGAACTGTATTAAAGGGTCACAGCGTTAGGGAGGTTGATAACTATTGAATTAGAGTGTTTATTTCAGGATTTGGATCTCTTGAGACAGGGTTTGGCTAACTCTTGAATTGTTAGTCCTCCTGTGTCCCTATGCTGGGGTTACAGGTAGGCAACCACCTTGCCCAAGGAGAGACCTTGATCTACTCCTGACATAGCGGTTGGAGTCCCACACTTCCACGCCTGAGGTACGGACTGTTTTTGTTGTAATTTAAATGAACTTCAGATTAGCCCTTTAAAAAGTAAAATCTAAAACAATGACTAGATAAAAGTGTTCTAAATTGGCTGGGCAGTGATGGTGCACGCCTTTAATCCCAACACTGGGGAGGCAGAGGCAGGCAGCCTGGTCTACAAGAGCTAGTTCCAGGACAGCCTCCAAAGCCACAGAGAAACCCTGTCTCAACCGCCGCCCCCCCCCAAAAAAAGTGCTCTACATTACTTTACTGCTAGGAAATAAAAGATATGCTAACATTTTTGTTTTGTTTTCCAGAAAAACAATACACATAGAGACTGGAGAGACAGCTCAGCAGTTAAGAATGTTTGTTGCTCTTCTGGAGAAGCCAATGTCAGTTCTCAGCACCCACATTGAGAAGCTCACAACTTCCTATGATCCTCCAGCTCCAGGGATCTGACACCCTTTTGGTCTCCCCTCCCCACAGACACATCCACACAAAATTCAGACATTGAACCACCCTTCCCAGTGAATAACAATCAGTAAAGGTTGACAGATATGAGGCACACAGCTGTAATTCCAACATTCTGAAGACTGAGGCCGGAGGATTTCATGTTCTAAGTCAGCCTGAGGTTCCTATCAAGAGCCTATCTCAAAGAAAAACCACAGAAAGAAAAAACAATAAAAAATTTCTAGGCATGAGTTGGGATAGAGTATGGTTAAGACTGTACCATCTTTGACTGTGTTTCTATTGTCTTCCTCCCCTGCTTCCTCAGAATGGCTCCTTGAGGGCCTATGTCCATAAGGTCTTCCAAGGTAGCAGTGTAGATAAGAACTAAGGGTATAGGCTGTGGTGTTAATTATATGCCTGGGTTCAGATCTCAGGATGTCCATGTGTGAATTAAAATTTGGGGGTTATTTAAATTGTTTGACCTCTGTTTTTCTTAATACAAGATAAGAAAAAAGAAGAGTATATCTTCTTTCCAGAGTTGTTCTGAGATTATATGACAAAATATACAAGGAGTTCCCAACACACAAGCAAGAGACCTGCAAACACTGCCTTTCATTTACTACTGCTGCCTTTAGTAGCCCCAGGCACACTTCCTTATCTTCCAGCCCTCCACAGTGAGCCAACTGGACCAGAGTTCTCAAAGTGTTCCAGCATGTAAACAAGTATAATGAAAATGAGTCGCTGTGAACCATCATTTCCTCAACTGTCAAATGTTAACCGCTGAGCTTGAGTGAAACAAATTTTACAAAGTTCTTGGTTGAGACTAAATATTGTTTTTCATTTTCAAATTGTTGATTTTGGCAAATGGGATTGACTTTCCATTATTGTAATGACCTAAAATGTCCTTCAAAGTGTCTTTTTAAAGGTGAAGACGTTTAAAGAAAAAAAATTGAGTAGCAGTACAGATTGTCTACAGATATGATAAAAACATGGAAGTGAGACACGGATGACTGAAATTTGGGGAAAGTTCTACTAAACCAAATTTAACTACTTTATTTGTTCCAGGATTTTGTCTTGATGAGAATGTGGCCTCTGTAGAAGGGATTTGTCATCTAGCATTAAAAACTATTCATTAGAGTAACAGCAGGGTCCTAACAGAGAAGGTACTTCAGAGAGTACCCAGAAGAGATGGCTTTTACAGTTGTCCCTTCTGGGATCTAGATATCTTAGACTTCTTATGTTTGGTGCAAAGTCTGTCATGATCCCACTTTGAGGGGCCATCTGTTGGGTCCAGCTGACCTGTCCAGTCTGTACTTGAGGTGGGAGTGTGGATTGAGGAAAGAATTAGACAAGACACAAGAAATAGAGTTCAGAGGGCATCCAGTGAATACTAGGATCAGCCCCAAGTTTGTTACTCAAAGCTCTTATGTGCCCCAATCAAGAGATAAGGAAGGCAAAAGACTACCTTACCAAGACACAAAGAGCAAGCAAGCATAATTACCTTCTCAATAGCCAAAACATCAAGTAACCACACCCCAAACCAAATATCCTTTTGTCAAGGTAAGACATCCCTTAGTTACTCCTTAGGCCAAATATCTTGTTGTCAAGGCAAGACACACAATAGCCACACCTTAGGCCAATCATTCTGTGGTTTAACCTTGATAGAGCAAGAGTGGGTTTGAATTCTCTGACCTTATGTCAAGATGGAACGAAGCCATCTATGGGCTCTGAAGCTGCAAATGGCCAAGTATGAGTGTTTGCATAATACTTAAAAGCACATTAGCCCTCTGGCGTAATGTGATATTCCCCCACCCCAACCTCGTTGAATCCTGGATATAACATAGACATTAGCAGTTCAGGGAGAAGGTGAAATCTAATCTGGAAGTTTGACTACTTCTGGTTGAAAGCAGTGGGGGTAGTCTGGAGTTCAGTTAATCACAACACACTGAGGTTGGTTTCGCATTTAGACAAAAGGAAAACCAGGCAAATGGTTAGGGAGCCTGTGGTACCACCTTTGCAACTCTTCAGTGTTTTAAGGCTATTATACAGTTAAAATATTTGTTTAATAAAGCACATTAGACCAAATTCAATTCTCTTGTTCTTCCCCTTGCCAGGTAGATGACTATAGCAAAGGATTCAAATTATCTTTCAGTTTCCACATTATGAGATGTTCTGAGGGAGGGGTTAAATAGTATTATAAATAAAGTTCTTAGTGGGGTCAGTGAGATGGCTCTGTGGGTAAGATTGCTTGCCACCAAGACTGATGACCTGATGACCTGAATTTGACCTCTGGATGCACTAGATCTCTGGAAGTAGAAAACTGACTTCTACAAGTTGTCCTCTACTATTTGCACACAGTGTCCCTAACCCCCACAGATAAAAGACATGCTTTAAAAAGGAAAGGAAGAAAATGAAGCACTTAGCATAACGCCTGCCTGGAATAAAACCTTAATCCTAAAATGGTAAAGGATGATAGGTCAGGGAATTCTGGGAAATTTGCAACTTCTTGGCAAATCCCATGTGCTGGGGTCAGAACTTGAATCTGCAAGCAGTAGATGGATAAATAGAGCCCTAGACAGACCTACAAAGCCCATGTTCCTCCTTTCTCTGCCCACCCATGTGCCTAGCCTCCTTCAGTGTTCAGCAGGAAAGAGCAGGGCTAATTCGAACTGAACTGGTGAACCAGAAGAATAGCCCAGCATTCACTCAACAAACCCGGATGAAACTATTCCAGGAGTCTGGTTGTGGTGCCAATGAACTGTGTGTGTGGAGGAGCGTGTTTTCCACTGTTCATTCTTAAACTCTAGTCTAGTCTAGTCTAGTCTCTCAGTTGTCCCAGACCCGCTAATGTTCCACCAAGTTAGATTTAGGATTGAAGTTTCCTTGAGACAAGAGATGAGAAATTCTCCTAAGCAAAGATCTGAAGGTGTTCATCTGTCTGAAAGCAAGAGAGCTGCCAGCAGTTACATTTCGACCATCATATCATCAAAGTCTTGGATTTCAACAGTAGGCAGAAAGATGAAGGGAAGGATTCTGAGGAAGGCTGTGTTTCTGAAACTCTGCCAACTGCCTAACAGTCTGTGACTAAGTAATAGGTGAGAAGAAAAAAAAGAATAGCCTTCCTTTTCAATATTCAGACATGGGCATCAATCTCAGTAACATTACTAGGCTTTTAACACAATTATACTCCCTAATGAACAATTATTGGAAAGATAGAGAAAATAGAAGAAATATAGAGAATTGAACAATCAGGAAATTATTTATGAAGCTCCTTTATTATGCACTCTTCCTGAAGAAAGAGGTCTTGTCCATCAAAGTATTAACATAGAACCTTCAAGTTAAAACGTAATCTCACTGGGGCTGGAGAGACTGCTCAAGTGGTTAAGAACACTGCCTGATGTTCCAGAGGATCTGGTTTGGATTCCTAACACCCATGTGGCAACTCACAACCATCTATAACACCAGTTCTAGGGGATCTGATACCCTTCTCTGGTCCTCAAGGGTACCAGGTATGCATGTGGTACACAGATATAGACACAGGCAAAGCTCCCATGTGAAAAAAATAATTTTTAAAAATTATTATTCGCTAAAAATAAAAAGATCCTTTATTCTCTGTGTTAGTTTTTACCATCGCTATGATGAAACACCATAACCAAAAGCAACTTGGGGAGGAATGGCTTTATTTGGCTTACACTTCCATGTCACTGTTCATCATCAAAGGAAGTCAGGACAGGAACACAAACAGGGCAGGAACCTGGAGGCAGAAGCTGATGCAGAGGCCAGGAAGGGGTGCTGCTTACTTGATTGCTTCCCATGACTTGCTCAACCTGCTTTCTCGTAGAACCAGGACTACCAACCCAGGGATGGCACAACCCACAATGGGCTGGCCCATAAGCTACTAATTAAGAAAAATGTGGTTGTGGCTCATGCTTTTAATTCCATCAATTGTGAGGCAGAGGCAGAGGCAGGCAAATCTCTGAGTTCGAGGTTGGCCTGTTCTACAGAGAGAGTTCCAACACTGTCTCAGGGAAAAAACAAAACAACAAAAAAGAAGAGAAGAAAAGAAAATGCCTTGCAGGCCTGCCTACAACTCAATTTTATGGAGGCATTTTCTCAGTTGAGGTTCCTTCCTCTCAGATGCTTATAGCTTGCCTCAAGTTGATATAAACCTAGCCAGTACAATTGACCCCTTGTCAACCTGACACACAAACATAACACTGTTAAGCCATAACCTTTCCTTCTTGTTCTTCTTCAAGATTACACATTAATATCAAGATTACATTATAAATATTCCAAAATTTAAGTCTTTAAAAATTCAAACATTTCAAAAAATTCACTTTAAAATAGCTAATCTCTTTTAAAATTTAAACTTTTAAAATTCAAAGTTTCTGCTCCTGTAAAATAAGAAATAAATACTTTCTTACCTCAAAAGGGAAGAATCAGGGCACAGTCACAAACAAATCAAAGCAAAACCAAACTCCAAGAGTGTAAATAATTTAACGTCCAATGTCTGGGATTCACTCATGGTCTTCTGTGCTCTTCCAAGGTTCCTGGGCCACTTTTCTGGCTCCACCCTCTACAACACACACAGCTTGTTTTCTAGGCTCTAGCTGGCTCCACCCCACTGCTGCTGCTGTTCTTGGTGATCATTTTACAGTGCTAACATCTCCAAAATTCTGAGGTCTTCTGTTGCAATTGGGTTGCACTTTCACCAATAGCCTCTGTGGTAGTTTGAATGTAATTGGCCCTCATAAAATCATAGGGAGTGTGACTATTAGGGGGTATGGTCTTGTTGGAGTGGGAATGGACTTCTTGGAGAAAGTGTGTCACTGCCGGGGCAGGCTTTGAGATTTCCTGTGATCAAGATACTGCCCAGTGTCTCCATTCACTTCTTGTTGCCTTCTGATCAAGATGTAACCAACACCATGTCTGCCTGCATGCCATCATGCTCCCCACCAGGGTGATGGCCTCTGAAATGTAAGTGAGCCAACATTATTAAATGCTTTCCTTTATAAGGTTGCTGTAGTCATGGTGTCTCTTCGCAGCAATAGAAACCCTAATTAGGACAGCCTCTCACAGTCCCTCTTCCTGGTGCCTCAACTTCTCAGCATGACCTCTTCAGTCCTGGTCCTTTCACTGCAACTGAAGCTGCACCTTCACCAATGGCCTCTCCTGACCTCTCACAGTGTCAAGTCTCAGCTGCTCTCCATGACTCCTTCATGCCTTCAAAGCCAGTACCACCTGGATGACTCTTAGACTACCAAGTAGGGCTGCCAGCATGAGGTACAGCCTTAGAATCCTCTAGAACACAGTTGCTATGCACTGGATCCAAGAAAACACTTCCCAGAAGATTTTACCTCGGTGATGCTGGTCTTTTCTCTCCCCTTCCCTTCTCCTCCTCCTCCTCCTCCTCCACTTCCTCCTCTTCCTCCTCCTCCTCCTCCTTCTCCTCCTCCTCCTCTTCTTCTTCTTCTTCTTCTGAGTTTTTGTTTGTTTTTGTTTTTGAGACAGGGTTTCTTTGGGCAGACTGGCTGTCCTGGAACTAGCTCTGTAGATCAGGCTGGCCTTGAACTCACAGAGATCCACCTGCCTCTGCCTCCTTAGTGCTGGGATGAAAGGCGTGCGCCACCTGTCCGGCTATGCTGCTCTCTTCTTAATCATCCCTAATTTCTCAGATCCAGCTGACCAGCAGCATCAGTTGTCCCAGGAGAGCAAAGATTTCACTTCACTGGTGCTGAGTCACAGCTAAGTCTTCAGCCCCAGCTGACCAGAACCACGGCATCTTAATTCAAATTAACAAATGGCTCTGGTGGCTCCTTTGAACTTCCCTCTGTAACTTTACTAGCTCTGCACTGCTCTCAACATTCTTATCTTCCAAGCTCTTACAGAACAGCTCACTGAGCTCTCAACACTCAAGACTTTTCTAGGCCATAGTTCCAAAGTCCTTCCACAATTCTCCCAA